ATGGACTGACAGGTGCTGGTTTGATTCCTGGTCAGGGCACATGCCTGGTTTGCAGGCTCGATCCCCAGTAGGGGGCGTGCAGGAGGCAGCCGATAGAGGTTTCTCTCTCACATCGATGTTTCTATCTCTCCCTTCCTCTCTCTAAAAAATCAATAAAAACATATTTAAAAAAAAATTTTTTAAATCTTTACCCGAGGATATTTTTCTATTTATTTTCAGTTAGAGTGGGAGGGAGAAAGAGAAATATGGATATAAGAGGAACACATCAACTGGTTGCTTCCTGCACAACCCTGACCAGGGTCAGGGACCAAACTGTAACCAAGGTACATGTCCTTGACTGGAATTGAACCCACAACTCATTGGTCTGCAAGGCTGATGCTCTAACTGCTGAGCCAAACTGGCCAGGGCATATTTAAAAAAAAATTTTTTTTTTAATCCTCAGCAGAGGACATTTTTGCATTTATCCCCAGATAGAGTGGGAGGGAGAGAAAGAGAAACATTGATGTGAGAGAGACACATTGACTGGTTGCCACCCACACGACCCCAGCCAGGGCCGGGGACAAACTACAACCAAGGTACGTGCCCTTAGCGGGAACCGAACCCGGGACTCTCTGGTCTGCAGGCCGACACTTTCACTGCTGAGCCAAACCAGCCAGGGCTAAAACATTTTAAAAATAAAAATGAGCCCTGGCCGGTTTGGCTCAGCGGTTAGAGTGTCGGCCTGCGGTCCTGAGAGACCCGGGTTCGGTTCCCGCTAAGGGCGTGTGCCTCGGTTGCAGTTTGTCCCCGGCCCTGGTCGGTTGTGCGGGTGGCAGCCACTCGATGTGTTTCTTTCACATCGATGTTTCTCTCTCTCTCTCTCTGTTCCTCTCTCTCCCTCCCACTCTACCTGAACAAAAAATGGAAAAATGTCCTCGGGTGAGGATAAAAAAAATAAAAATAAAAAAAATAATAAAAATGGGCAAAAGATCTGAACAGACATTCCACCAAAAAAAATATACAGATAGCAAAAGAAAAAATATGAAAAGATGTTCAGCTTCATACCTCATCAGGAAACTGCAAATCAGCACAACAATGAGATATCACTACACACCTATTAGAATGGTGAAAATCCAAAACAGTGACAACACCAAATGTGAGGATGTGGAACAACAGAAACTCTCATTCATTGATGATGGAAATATAAAATGGTACAGATACTTTGGAAGACAGTTTGGCAGTTTTTTACAAAACAAACATACTCTTACCATATGATCAGCAACCGTGCTTCTTGGTATTTATCCAAAGAAGTTGAAAACTTAGGTCCACATGAATGTTTATAGCAGCTTTATTCCTAACTGCCAAAACTTGGAAGCAACCAAGATATCCTTCAATAGGTAAATGGATAAATAAACTGTGATAGATCTACACAATGGAATACTATTCAGTACTAAAAAGAAATGAGCTATCAAGGTGAGCCCTCTCGCCTGGTGTGGCTTAGTGGATTGAGCATCATCCCATGGACTGAGAGGTCCTGGTTCGATTCCCAGTCAGGGCACATGCCTGGGTTGTAGGCTTGATCCCCAGGAGAGGGCATGCAGGAGGCAGCTGATCGATGTCTCTCTCTCACGTTGATGTTTCTATCTCTCTCTCTAAAAAAATCAATAAAAAATATTTAAAAAAAAAAAAAAAAAGTGCCCTAGTCATCTCTGCACTGGGATCAGCTCCCCTTATCCCCTAAAAATGTAGTCTGCACCAAGTTTGTCTTCATCCACCCCTTGGTCAGGAACACCTCTCAGCTGTGCTGGTCACTGTCTGCAGTGGTGCTGAAACAACCAGACACTGACAGATGAGAGTCTCAGCAGTTTGGCAGCTCTATGTCCCTTGACCTAATTTATTTCTAGCAGCAGCACTCAAACCAGCACCATTTCAAGGAACATCAACACAGCAGCCAAATTCATTTGGGGCTGGGGCTGCCACAGTAGGGGTGGCAGGCTCTGGGGCTGGAATTGGGACCGTGTCTGGGAGCCTCATCATTGTTTATGCCAGGAACCCTTCTCTGAATCAACAGCTCTTCTCCTAAGCCATTCTGGACTTTGCCCTCTCTCACAGGTCATGGGGATCTTTTGCCTGATGGTGGCCTTTCTCATCCTCTTCGCCATGTGAAGGAGCTGTCTCCACCTCCCATAGTTCTTTCTACCAGTCTTATCTGCCCTGTATGTTCCTTTTCCTATACCTCCCCAGGCAGCCTGGGGAGTGGTTGGCTCAGGGTTTGACAGAGGGGAGACAAATATTGTATTAATAATATGTTTTTTTTTTAAAAAATAAGCCCTGCCCGGCTGGTGTGGCTCAGTGGATTAAATGTCCCATGCACCAAGAGGTCACCAGTTTGATTTCCAGTCAGGGCACATGCCCAGGTTGCAGGCTTTGTCCCCAGTAGGGGACGCGCATGAGGCAGCCAATGGATTATTCTCTCTCGTTGATGTTTCTATCTTCTCTCTCTCTTTCCCTCTTCCTAAAATCAATAAAAAACATATTAAAAAAAAAAAGAAACGATCCCTGCCCTGGCCCAGGTTGCTCAGTGGTTAGAGCATCAGTCTGCACATTAAAGGGTCTGTTTCGATTCCGTCAAGGTTTCAGGTTCAATCCCTGGCCCTAGTTGGGTCATGTGTGGGAGGCAACCAATAGATGTGTTGATGTTTCTGTCTCCCACTCCCCACTCCCTTCCATTTTCTAAAAATCAATGGAAAAAATACCCTCGAGTGAGGAGTAACAAAATAATGATGATGATGATGATGGTAATAATAATAATAAATGAATAATAATAATAATAAATGAGACCTGCCCTGGCCAGTATGGTTCAGTTGCTTGGGCATTGTCCCATGCACCAAAAAGGTTGCTGGTTTGATTCCTGGTCAGGGCACATGCCTAGGTTTTGTGCTTGATCCCCAGTAGGGGGTGTGCGCAGCCAATTGATGTTCCCTCTCTTCCTCTCTCTCTCTCGAAATCAATAAAAATATTTTTTAAAAGGAAATGAGCCCTGCCCTGGCAGTGTGGCACATACCTAGGTTGCGGTTCTGTCCCTGGCCCTGGTTGGGGTCTTGCAGGAAGCAACCAATCGATGTGTCTCTCTCACACAGATGTTTCTCTCTCTCTCTCTCCCACTCTGTCTGAAAATGGACGGAAAAATATCCTCGAGTGAGGATTAAAAATAAATAAATAAATAAATAAATAAAACATATATTAAAAAAAAAACACGAACCCAGGCTGAGTAGATCAGCTGTTAGAGCACTGTCCCAATATTGCAAGGTTGCAGGTTCAATCCCAGATCAAGGCACATACAAGAAGCAACCAATAAGTGTAAAAATAAGTGAAACAACAAATCGATGTTTTTTTTCATCTCTTTCTCTCAAACCAATTAAAAAAATTTTTTTCTTTAAAAGAAATGAAAAGGCATGGAGCAATGTTAAGCACATACATATTACTAAGTGAAAGAAAGTCAGCTCCAAGAGAACAGGGATTCTGGTCTGTTCACTGCTGTATCCCCAATCTGGTCTGTCCAAAACCAACCCTCAATAAATATTTGGTGAATTGCCCTGGCTAGTTTGCTCAGTGGTTAGAGCATCAACCCTTGGATGGAAGGATAGTGGGTTTGATTCCCAGTAAAGGTCACATACCTGGGTTGCAGGCTCAATCCCTGGCCCCAGTTGGGGTCGTATGAGAGGCAACCAATCAATGTTATCTTTCTCACATCAATGTTTCTCTCTCTCTCCCCCTCCCTCCCTTCCATTCTATCTAAAAAAAAAATTAATGAAAAAATATCCTGGGGTGAGGATTAAAAAAATTTTTAAATAAATATTTGGTGAATTGCCCAGCTGGTATGAGTGTCAACCCATGCACCAAGAGGTCACCAGTTCCAATTCCTGGTCAGGGCACATGCCCAGGTTGTGGGCCAAATCCCCAGTGGGGAGCATGCAGGAGGCAGCCAGTCAATGTTTCTCTCTCTCTCTCCCTCTCCCTTCCTCTCTCTCTCTTAAATCAATAAAGAAAAAACGTTTTTAAAAAATGTTTGGTGAATTAATAAATGTGTAAGACAAAACCATTTTTGTCATCCCTGACACTGCTCTTTCTTTTACTCCAACATCTAATCCATTAGCATTTTCTTTCAGTTCTAGCTTCTTAAATATATCTAAAATCTGATCACTTTTCATCACCTCCATAGATTCACCATGGGTCAAGTCAGAATCATCTTGCACCTAGATTATTTCAAATGCCTCTTATTGGTCTCCCAGCATCCACTCCTGCCCTAAGAATCTATTCTCTACATGGCAGCCAGAGGGATCCTTTTAATACTTTAGTCCAGAAGACTACAAACTTCTATAAAGGTCCAGATAGTAAATCTTTTCAGCTCTGTGCTCCTATAGTCCCACTTGCAACAACTGAACTCTGCAGAAGCATCCACAGGCAAGTATGGCTGTGTTCTAATGCAACTTTATTAATAGTTCCCACCCTGCTATAGTCACTTCACATCACTCCTTTATTCCGAACCTTTTCAAGGGTAATTAACAACCCAAGTCCCATTACCTGACTGTATCTCTTACTATCTCCTTCTTGCGCTTCTCCAGTATAGTCCTCCTTCCCTGGCCTTTGCAGCTACTGTTTCTCTGCTTGAAGCATGGTTCTCCCTACCAGCCGGGCTCACTTCTGAGCTTCTCCATGGATCCTTCTTGACTCTCTTCTGATCAAACAGGCTATCTGTCATTCTCTCCCTATTTTTTTCTCCATAGCACTTAGCATCCACTGACTACTATATATTCCTGAGTTTACAACCTGTTTCCTCTAGAGAATGTCAGCTCATTGCTGTATCCCCAGCACTTAGCACCGTGCCAGGCACATGAGATACTCGACCAGTGCGTGGAACAAATGAGCCAAGAACAGACACTGGTTGGGTCTTGGGGAAGAAATGGGCGAAGAAGGCCCCAGGGGACTGTTTGGACCTGTTGGGCCAGGGACTTCCTCACCTGGCTGGCTCCTGACCAGCTTCCTTTCCGTGGCTCTCCTCACCCTGATGCTGCTCCTTGCTCTCCCCCAACGGCTGTGGCTCCTGGTCCTTGCACTCTGCGTGGGGCATGTCCACCTGTGAGCACAGTCAGCGCTTGAGAGGCCAAAGGAGGGGGAGTGACACGTGGGCGGATCCCGTCCTCCTGCCCCCTCGGCCCTGGGCACCTCCTTGCAACATAGTGGGGCTCGTAGAAGAGACAGGCTGAGCTAGGGCGGGCACCACGAGGTCGGAGGTCCGGGGAGTGAAATGGGGGAACCCTGCACCTAGAGGATAGAGGCGGGGAAACCTGGAGGGAAAGCTGGAGGGGCCGGGGTGAGGGCAGGGCCTCCGGGGTGCTTGGGCTCCTAACTGGTATTTGTGTTGAGTGAGTCCTTCAAGGGGGAGATGAGGGAGGAGAAAAAGAAGAAACGGTGTGGCACATGGATGCTGAGCCACTCTCTAAACTGCTTCTGCCACGCGCAGTGCGTGTAAGTCTGTCCTTCTGGCCCCGCTGTTCGCCACACTGTCCGTCTATCAGTCAAGGCCCAGTCACCCAGTCAGGAAGTCGGGGCCCCGCCGGGCGAGGGTGACCCCGATGGCAGGAGACAAGTCGCCAAGCGAGGGTCTGCCGTGGAAGCCGGAGATCACTGCCATACCCAGCCCATCAGCCCACCGCCCGCGCTAAGAAAACAAGCGCCTCGTACTCCCTGTCGCTCCATTTTTGTCTTTTCCCGCCTTCTCGCCTTCTCGTCAGAGCCCTCTTGCTCACACGCCGGCCCCGCCCCCGCTGTGAGGACCTGCAGCGGCGCTCCCACGCCCCCCGCCGCTCTCTGGGAACATGCGCGCGCAGCAGGGCGGGGCCGACCGTTAACGGCCGTTGGGCTGTCTCTAGGACGCACGAGCTGGGGCGCTGTCGGGAGCCGGGTTGGGGGAGGGTGGTCTCTGGGTGCGCATGCGCGCTTGTAAGGTTCCGGGCCCAACGCAGGTAGCTGGGTCTTTTCAATAAAAATTTTTTATTTTGTATTGATCTTGGAGAGAGGGAGCGAGGGAGTGACAGAGACAGAGAGATATCCATCGGTTGCCTCCCGCACACACCTGACCGGGGATGGAACCTGCAACCTGGATATGTGCCAAGGCAGGGAATCCAACCCTTGGTGTGCGGGAGGACGCTCCAACCAACTGAGCCACACGGGCTAGGGCTATTCAATAAAAAAGTATGACCTGTCACCCGGCGGTATGGCTCAGTGGTTGAACATCCACCCATGCACCAAGAGGTCGCTGATTGGATTCCCGGTCAGGGCAATGCCCAGATTGTGTGCCCGGTCCCCGGTGGGGGCATGCAGGAGGCAGCCAATGGATGTTTTGTCACGGATGTCTCTACGTCTCTTCCTCTCCCTTTCTCTCTCTAAAACCAATAAATAATTTTTTTAAACCTGACCTTTATTGTTCCCTGATTTTTACTTTATCATCTCTAGTGAAAAAATGTATGCAGTTACTGTCTTGAATGAGTTACCTGTGCACTCCAGAACTAGAAGCTTCTTGGAAGCACAGTGGGCCTGGCCCTACAGAGTTAGACCCATATCTTTTAATAATAGTAATAACAATAATGCCTCAATACTAACAATATTATTGTTGACACATGAGGAGCCACAGACTGGGAGACAATATTTGCAAAATATAAATGTAAGAACTTGTACCAGCAACTACAAAGAACTCTTTCAACTCAATAATAGGAACAACAAACCCAAATAAAAAATGGGCAAGCCCTGGCTGGTTTGGCTCAGCGATTAGAACATCAGCCCTTGGACCAAACGGTCAAGGGTTCAATTCCAGTCAAGGGCATGTACCTGGATTGCAGGTTCAATCCCTGGCCCTGGTCCAGGTCATGCAGGAGGCAACTATTCAATGTGTTTCTCTCTCATTGATGTTTCTCTCTCTCTCTCCCTTCCTCTCTCTCTAAAATCAATAAAAAAATAAAAATTTTAAAAATGGGCAAAAGGCCCTGGCCGGTTTGGCTCAGCGGTTAGAGCGTCGGCCTGCGGTCCGGAGAGACCCGGGTTCGGTTCCCGCTAAGGGCACGTACTTCGGTTGCAGTTTGTCCCCGGCCCTGGTTGGTTGTGCGGGTGGCAGCCACTCGATGTGTCCCTTCACATCGATGTTTCTCTCTCTCTCTCCCTTCCTCTCTCTCCCTCCCACTCTATCTGTACAAAAAGTGGAAAAATATCCTCGGGTGAGGATAAAAAAAAAAAAAATTAAAAAAATAAAATAAAAATAAAAATGGGCAAAAGATTTGAATAGGTGTGTGCAAAAGTCCTGAACTAGGAGCAAGCTCAGTGTGTTTGAAGAGCAGACACAAGGCCTGGAGAGGAGAGCAGTGATTGGGGGAGGCTGTGATTGGGCAGGGGCTGAGGTTTGGGGGCAAGGTGATGGGATTTTGTTCCAATTGATTGGGAAGGAGGTGGAGCTTTCTCTGAGACACATGTCACAGTGTCCATGTAGAGGAGGCACATTGCTCAGCCCTTCTGTGGGAGGCTCAGTCCTGACCTCACATACTAGGGCACACATCTTGACACCTACACTCTGGAAAACATGGACTAGAATCTCGATTCTATCTCTTACCCATGACAATGATCATAAAACTGCCACTTGCTTTCAAAACCCAATTTCATCTACTACCAAGGCGATAAAATCTAAAATACCCAAATATTTTGTTTGTTTGTTTGTTTTTTAATCCTCACCTGAGGACATTCTCTCATTTTTTGTTCAGATAGAGCGGGAGAGAGAAACATTGACGTGAAAGGGACACAAGTGGCTGCCACCCGCACGACCCAACCAGGGCCAGGGACAAACTGCAATCAAGGTATGTGCCCTTAGCGGGAACCGAACCCAGGTCTCTCTGGACCGCAGGTCGACGATCTAACCATTGAGGCAAACCAGCCAGGGCTAAAATATCCAACTATTGCCCAGACTGGTTTGGCTCTGCAGTTAGAGTGTGGGCCCATGCACCAATGGGTCTCGGGTTTGATTCCAGTCAAGGGAATGTACCTGAGTTGCAGGTTCAATCTCTGGCCCTGTTTGGGGTCATGCAAGAGGCAACCAATCTATGCATCTCTCTCACATCCATGTTTCTCACTCGCTCTCTCTCCCTTCCACTCTATCTAAATATCCTCCAGTGAGGATCAACAAAATAAAATAAAATAAAATAAAAATATCCAGCTATTGTAAGGGTTTTAGGGATAAAATGTCTGGAACATACTGAGTTTAATAAATGATAGCTAACATTAGTCTTTTTTGGTAAACCTACACGTTAAACAAATATATCTTCCCACACCATCAGATTTGAAAATTGGAGGATTAGCTACTGAGAAAAATCTCAAAGGCTTATTGTTAAGCATGCATACAACAAGCACATGGAACCCAAACAAAAGCAACACACAAGATGCAGGATGATTTTAATGGTGTATAATTTGTATAACTTAAGAACATGCAAAATGAAACCATGTCTTGGGATGTAATATATACAAGTAGTAAAAATATTTAAACATATGAGAATGATATACACCAAATTCAGGAATGGGTAATAACCTCAGCAGGATGGAGATGAAAGGAACTAGGATAAGCCCATACAGTCTTCAAACTCATTGATCACAAAGGTCTAAAAACTGCAAGTTCCATCCTGGTCAGTTAGAGCATGGACCCGAGGACCAGAGAGTCATGGGTTCAATTCTGGTCAAGGGCATGTACCTCAGTTGCAGATTGGTCCCCAGCCCTCATCAGGGTCATGAGGGAGGCAACCAGTTGATGTGACTGTCTCACATTGATGTTTCTCCTCCCTTCCCCTGCCCATACACTATCTGAAGATAAATGGAGAAATATCCTCGGGTGAGGATTATAAAAAATAAATAAAAACTGCAAGTTCCAAAGCAAATACTATAGTCAATGTTCAGATTTGATCAAAGTTGGGGTGGGGTGGGGTGATTCACAGTTGTTTCTTGAATTATGCTTTATATGTTCTTCACACCCTGGCCATTTTGGCACAGTGGTTAGAGCGTCAGCCCACAGACCAGACAGTCCCAGCTTCAGTTTCTGCTAAGGCCACATACCTCATACCTTGGTTGCAGTTTGTCCTCGGCCCCGGTTGGGGTCATGTGGGTGGCAACCACTTGATGTGTCTCTCTCACATTGATGTTTCTCTCTCTCTCTTTCTCCCTCTCTCCTTCCTGCTGTATCTGAAGATAAATGCAAAAATGTCCTCAAATGAGGATAAAAAATAATAATAAATAAATAAATATATGTTCTTCACCCTCCTCAGCTATTTTTTCAATAAGGCCTTTAGCCCTCCCTCCATTTCTGTGTTTATCATATCTCCAGAGCACCCTTACCCCCATGTTAACTCCAGAGGGCAGGGATAGGCTGATTCCAAAGACTCTGTCACAGGGGTGTTCGGAATCAGATGCCAGCCAGCTAATAAATGGCTCTTATTTGGAAAAAAATCACAGAGAGAAGGGACCTGAGTCTATTTTGTTCACTGCCAAGGCTTCAGCTCATGAGTTCTAACACTTAGAGAGTATGTATTTATTACATGAATCAGTACTTTTCTGTATTAACTAAATTATTGAATTTGAGATAGAGAAAAAGATTTGACTGAGGAGCCCTTGGGAGATTGGTACCCATGGGGCCCTAGGACCAGTGATGCCCATGGCTTCAGTTGACTTGTCAACTTTGCTGGGTGTGCCAGTGGCCTTGTGATTACCCAGGAAACTATCCAGAGATTTTTTTTTTTATCCTCACCTGAGGACATTTTTGCATTTATCTTCAAATAGAGGGGGAGGGAGAGAGGGAGGAAGAGACAGAAACATCAACATGAGAGATGCATTGATTGGATGCCACTCACACGACCTCAACCGGGGCCAAGGACAAACTGCAACCGAGGTACGTGCCCTTAGTGGGAACCGAACCTAGGACTCTCTGGTTTGTGGGCCAATGCTCTAATCGCTAAGCCAAACTGGCCAGGGCTCCATGTTTTCTTTTGTCTTTATTTTATCTTCATTGTTGCAAGTATTAAAGATGCCCCCCTATTTCTCTCACATTGACAACTTCCTCCCAGCTCCCACTGCCCCCTGCCTTTACACAGACTTGTTGTCTGTATCCATTGGTTATGCACATATGCATATAAGTTCTTTGGTTTATTTCTTCCAGTGCCCCTATCTCCTTTCCCTCTGAGGTTTGTCATTCTGTTCCCTACTTCCATGTCTCTGGATCTATTTTGTTTGTCTGCTTATTTTGTTCATTAGATTCAACAAATTAGTGAGATCATGTGATACTTGTCTTCCTCTGATTGGCTTTTTTTACTTAGCCTAACACTTTCCAGGTCCCTTTATGCTGTCTCAAAGGGTAAGAGATGTTTCTTTTTTACAGCTGCGTAATATTCCATTGTATATATGTACCACAGCTTTTTAACCGACTCATCTATTAATGGACACTTGGGCTATTTCCAGATCTTAGTTATTGTAAATAGGGCTGCAATGAACATAGGAGTGCATATATTACTTCTGATTGGTGTTTCAGGCTTCTTAGGACATATTTCTAGAAGTGGGATCACTGGGTCAAATGGCAGTTCAATTTTTAATTTTTTGAGGAAACTCCATATTGTTTTCCATAGTGGCTACACCAATCTGCATTCCCACCACCAGTGTGCTAGAGTCCCCCTTTTTTTTATCCTCACCTGAGGACATTTTTCCATTTTTTATTCAGGTAGAGTGGGAGGGAGAGAGAGGGAGAGGGAGAGGGAGAGGGAGAGGGAG